TAAAGACTTTTGACTGTATAAAAATAATTGTAAGACAGTTTCATCGGCATAATCTTAAATCATATCTTATTTTTATCACTTTTACAACTTATATTATGAATTAAAAAGTTAAAGTGTGTTTTAACTTTTTTGGGGGACACTCTGTAGGCAGTAAGTATATCTACGAATGGAAAATCCTATCGTAAGTAATCCCTCTTTTGGAAGGCATTGGTAGCTCCTAGGTTTTACCACAAAGGCTTGGTGAAAGTCCAAAATGGAATCATATTAAAGCATACTTCAGACTTTTACCAAGCCACTTTGGTAAAAGCTTGGTTTTTTTTTTTTAGTAAAAACCTAGGATTTACCAGACTTTGGGCTTTTACAATAACATATACATACGCCTAAGAGTTCCTAAGATTATAAGTGAATAAAAATTCAAACTGTCTATGGCCTGCCATAAATATGTCAGTATAAATTGGTAGGTAATAGTTTCCTCAATAGGAAAGTTTCGATAAGTTTTCCTTCGTGACATTCTTTGGAGAAAAAAATTATGTTTATAAAATACATAAAGGATGGAACTTGTTTTCTTTGAGTTGTGAACACACAATACTTGTGAAAAATGTCAAACTTTATACAGTGAAATGTGTATAGGTGGTGAAAACTCATGTTGTAGTTTTGATTTTTCAATATCATTCAGCAAATACTGAATTATTGCTATTCATTTATTAAATACTGAATAACATTACTGCTCTTGAAAGGTAGCACTGCTAATACAATGTTACAAATGGCAAGCATTTAATTATTTTTATCCAAAGTATTCCTGAAACTTTTTCAACAAACTGTTGCTATTTTTCCTTTGTAATAGTAGTAAAGAACCATTTTCATGCTTACCTAACCTTTATTTAGGAACACCTTACAAATGCAGCTTTCAATTAATGTAATTTTTGGTACATCAAAATAAAATAAAAGAAAGAAATCTGGTATGGACATTGCATGACTTCCTTATATAGCATTTTGAATTATACACTTTTTTTGCTGCATTTCATTTAAACTTATTTCCTCGAATTTCACTACAAATGTATTTCTCATTCTCTTCTCATTTGACGGCAAGGCAAAAGTACATAAAAATTCAAAGCATTTGCATTAAAAATTCTGAAATACGGAAAAACATAAAACACTAAATATAGTTAAAAACAATTTTTGAAAAAATTAAAATTAAAATTGAGTTTGTATGCAAAAAAAGAGCAATTTGGCCATTTTTGATATACGAAATTGAAAGTTTACATTTAATTCCACTTAGTAAAAAGACATTGAAGTTGGTGCATAAACTAACTTAATTCACTATTCTACTAAGAGTTTCAGATGTAAAGAAATGGTGGCTTCGTTAGGCTTAGTACCACTTAAACAATTTTTAAATTTTTGATAATTCTACAACTATTGCATGCAGATTAACTAAAGACATATAAACTTTAACTGGAACATAAGAACAACATAACTTTTAAAGCAAAAAATGCACAATTTGCTAACATATAAGAATAAAGAAACTGAGCCCGCTGGCCCGAGCAATAGATTGAGTATATGCATATATAATATATACATACACATTTTGTGTGCCTGATTGTAATGAAAAAGGCAGGTGCAGAATTACCTGTTATAGCAGTCCTATATACAAAATTTCAACATTTTACATTCTACGGCTACTCGATTTCGAGTTACATAGCATACGTACATATGTAGATTTTTTTATGACATCTGTACATACAAGAGGCTTTTATTCTGTCTAAACATCCAGATGTTACACAAAATCATTATTTAAATGGATTTGAGAGCAATCAAAATGGATATTTTTGCTAAAATATGGTAACTGAAAATTTTCGCAATTGCAATACTTCCTTTACTTCATATAAGGAAGTAATAAAGTAAACAACATCTGATACGAGCCTCATAGGGGTTAAAATTCAGTGTTATATTTTTTGTCTCTTTCACCTTCTCTTTCCCTCTCTTTATGCATGCAATAGCACCCAAAATTGTGAAAACTTTTTAGAAAATGTATGGTGAAATTAAATTGATGCTGACTTCATAATTTTTGTATTAAAATTGTGTAAAATTATGTCATTGAAATGATAATTTTATGTTAACTGTCATTAGCGTTTTTCACTATGAATTGTCCTTATCACATGAAAGTCTATAGCTAAAATAAAAATTAAAGTTCCGTTGGATGCGCCGCTGATTAACTTGCAGGATTTAAAATTTTGTTCCGGCTGTCTGAGTTAGTTGCTGTAGAGCGCTCAATGTAGAAGAATGCATGAGTGAGACTCTCAGTCAGGATTGCAGATGTTGAGAGGGCGTAAACTACCTTGTCACATGAGGTGTGAAGCAGTTATTGATACGTTGTGAGATTTCAGGTTAGAAAAGCTGAAGAAAACATTAAATTTACAAAATAGCAGAAATAATTACATAAAAGGAAATTTTTCTAGTAATCATCAGAGTAACATCTTATGGAATAAATCAAAATGCATCTCTTAATACAGTCTAGTAGTCTTGTAAGTTGAATTTCAGAGTCCATGATAATGTGATGGGGGTGTTAACAGAATCATGTTTTTGTTTAACAGAATAAATGCAGAACAAATATTAATACAAAATACATATATTCAATTTCAAGATGTGTGTCCCAGAGCATACTTAGAATAAGCAGTCACATGTCACGTGAGTGGAATCAAGCATTCTGATTCGCTTAGCGTATACTTATCCAAAACTGATGAAAAGAGTAAAATAAAAATCGGAAGAAAACATGACTATATTGCATGAAGAAATAATTTCTTAAACTCAAAAGTAAAAGCCGATCAAATGTTGACATGCTACTTAAGGGATTCAGGAAGATGTTAAAAGCAATAAACTCGCATCTTTTACTATGGGAATTGATGCTAAAACATCTTATTTTGTTATCTAAGTATTGGTTAGTTAGTGCTTTTATGTTTAATTAAGCATAAAAACACGTTTAAGATAACAAAATAAAATTATTTGTCTTGTCATTTAGAAACAGCTACAAAATAATTGCTTTACATGAAAAAGTATCTCTTATGATGAAATTGCAAGAATAGTAAGTGGAAATGTAATTAAAAAGAATTTCTGAATTGATAATAAGTATCAGCAAATTATATCGTTGAACTGATAAATGTAGGAAAATATCCACAACAATTTTCTGTGATAGAAAAATTAAACTATATTTTAGTGGTAGAAAGAAATTATCTGAAGCAGTTAAAAAAAATCCATGTGAAAGTTGGGTAAACATGCATGCTAGGATTATTCAGCAAAATCTCAGAATGAGAAAAATTCTGTTTTATCTCTCAAGCAGAGCAAGATTAAAATGTGTGCCTAAGCATATTAATTGATCAAAAGAACAATGGAATGGTATCATCTGGAATGATAAAACTGGAATTTCTATATCTGGTAGTGATGAAATACAGTATTTTAGAATAATGGAGATTTGTGCTTAAATGAACAATATTTCCAGTTAAGCATCCAGTTAATATTATATTGTGGGGACATATGACAGTTATATAAGAAAAAATTGTGTAATCAGTGGTACTCGTAAGTAACAGAAAATACTTCATTCATGTGTTAGGGTCAAAATTAGTACAGTCAGCATGCAACTTCCTTCTGTCTATTAGACTTCCATATTTCATTCAAATTCTATATATTATGTTTCTATTGATTGAAAAATTAGTTTCAGGGAAATATTGTATGACTAGAATGATCCAGCTATAATTTTCATGTATGCCTGGATAGAAAATCGGGAGATGTTAAGATGTTTAACCTGTAAGCACATGGATTGGGATAAAACTGCCCAAGCCGGAAAGCATTTTAAATGAAGGAATAAGTTCATTATAAAGTATCTTTCTCTATCTGTGTATATTTAATTTAATAGATGTTGTACGTTATAAATATTTCGGAATTTCCTAGTTGTTTTTCATGGGAAGGAGGGTAATATGCATGGGATCAAGTTTGCCCTGCGCTCAGTATTTTTAATGTAAAATAAAATACACTTAAAGATATATTTCTGAAAGCATTCTGTAATAAGTAAATTAAGTATCTGTGGCTTTGTACGTATGTAATTCTAAGTAGGAAGAATTTCCAGAATCCATTTAAAAATGGTAAAATGCAATGTAAAGTTCCAATTCATAGACAATTTTTAATTATTTTCTATCTACATATTGATAGATTCTTCTGGTATCAATATTTTTTCATTTGTAACTAAGTTATTGTGTTATTTTTGCAAATCTTAACTTATCTCTTGCATTTTGCATAACATTTCTCAAACTGAGAATTGCTTAGGGGTTAAAGAAGTTTGTTACTCAGAAGCAACCACAGAAAAAATACAATTAATAAAAGCAGTTATATAATCATGATATCATATTCTAATGCTTATTTACGTGTAGTTTTATATCAACATTTTTTAAAGTACTAAATTTTTTCATATTGTGAGTTTTTATATTTATTATATTTATATAATTGCCTTTATATGTGCTTCTTAGTATAGTATTAAAATATATTAATGCTATAAGCTGTTAAATTTCAAAAATGCATGTTTTTCTTAAGGTTTCACAATCTTGGCAATTGGTGATGAACTAAAATATTATGACCATCCCCACATTTTCTAATGAACTGTGCTAAGGGTGTGTGATTAAGTGAGAATGGTATTTAACTGCTGCTAGAAAAGGTCATTCTTCCACTTATTTTTGCGAGTGATAGAAAAGGCTGCTGGGAACATCGAGAATGGGCCATGGATAAGTGGAAGACAGTTACTAGGTCAGATGAATCACAATTTCTCATTCATCATGTTGATGGTCGTGTTAGAATACATCATCTTTCAGATGAACAGTTGCTCCATACCTGTACAGTAGATCATACATAAGCTAGTGGTGGCGGTTAAAGATGTACTAAACTAAGGTTTTTTAATTATTATTTTGATTCACTTTTATTTATTTACCATGTTGACAGATGGGATTTGTATTTTGCAGGGAATTCGGATAATATTTGAAGATGGTTCCAGAATCGTCTTGCGTTTAAGTGGAACTGGTAGTAGTGGTGCCACTGTCCGTCTGTATATTGATAGTTATGAAAAAGATCCTGAAAAAATAACATTACCTGCTCAAGTAAGATAAAATATTTCCTCTTAAGTAAACAATGACGTATGTTTACATCCAAATACAATTTTTTTTATGTTCACTTTAATGTTTTGGCATCAAAATTATATAAAAAATTTATTGGTATTATTATTTTTATTGTTTTACTATAAGCAGACATCTAGTAGGTATTAAATAGTATGGCAACACATTCATATCTTGATTTCAGAGTACAGTAAACAGCATGGCAACTTACTTGCACACATCAATATAGCTTTATTACATTTATTACATTATTTTTATAGTATCTGTTAGAATCAGCCCCTCTAAGACATGGCAGTAATGTTATGTAAACTTTAGATTGCATTTTTATCACTGCATTCCATATTTTTGTTTTCCTTTTATAGTTTTGTTTTGTGAAATGAGCTATAAATGTTAGTGTTGTAATTTTTTGCACTGCAGTATTTTTTAAGATACAGTCAAATACCGAAAATCTGCTGACCTGAAATCCGCCAACTCCTGAAATCTGCATTGCCTCTCAAAAATATAAACATTCAGTTTATAGGTTCCAGAAACCGCAACATTAAGTACGAAATATCGAAGAAAAAAATACTTACCGAAAAATGACGTCATAATTATCGAATAATAATGAGTCAAAACGATTTTTGACATAAAAACGTTAAAAAAATAAGATAAAATAAATTAGATAATTTTTTCCCTCTAATCTGCATCGAGGTAAAAAAGCAGACGATTCACTCAACTCTTTGTTAAAGTTCAGGATTCACATTGTTGTATTTTCTTTGTTATTTCATTTCACGAGATTGTTTAGTGCTGTCTTTTTTTTATCCAGATATTTTGTGGATAAATTAAGAATATTTCTAATTTCAGCCCTTTTTAATACAATGACAGATAAGAAACGCACTCGGGATTTTACTGCTTGCAACGTGAAAAACGTAAACACGTTGCATTGACGGTAACGCAAAAAGTGCAAATTCTGCAAAAGATGGAAGCAGGTGCTACTTTTCGATTTATAGCAGAATAGTATGAAATTGCGACATGATTGTATATGATATATAGAAAAATAATGAAAAGCTGTTGAAAATTTACAGCAGCAGTGATTCCAATACTGGAATCCGAAACCGGAAATCTTTGCATGAGGCAAAATCGGCAAACCTCGATACAATACAATGAATAATATAATCAATTTATATATGTAATAATAATTTAATACATATAATAAATTATTGGAATAATGTATATAATAATTTAATTAAATGTATCTAATACGCATTATTCATTTTGCATTTTTAGTCCGATCATTATGCTGTATCTTTTCTGTCCTAAAATCCGCACAACCTCTGGTCCCAAGCTTTGCGGATTTCTGGAATTCTACTGTAGTAGCTAGTTATAAGTTTCAATAAATATTTATGTTTAAATGTTTATTGAAACTTATAATTTGCTACATCTAAACATAAATTTAATTGCATGTCCCATTTTAAGATATCTAAAAATTAGCATCTAACATATCGTGCTATATATTAAAAGCATTTAATTCAAGACATTTTTACTAGAAAAAAAAATATACTGTGTTTTCCTGCATATAACATGCACCGATATATAATGCACATCTACAGTTTCAGGCTACTTTTTTTTTTTTTTTTTTAAGGTATATTCGCCATATAATGTGCACCCAATTGTTCATGAAAAAACCTAAAAGATGCATGTGCAATGCTTTTATCTTTTGAGATCACTTATTCGAAAACTTTTCCTACCTTTCGAACAATGGTATACTGCAGGGTTTCTTAAACCTTTTTCAGTCGTGATCCCTTTTTATCACAGATTTTTTTCGCGACCCCCCTGGACCCCATAATATTTACAAAAATTTTGTGGGACCCCATAAGTATTGCATAAATCCGACTCGCGGGTGAGTGAAACTGTCAATTTTTTCACTTGTACTGTAATATACTATTGCAGTTTTAGGTCATTAACTTCAATTTCTAATTTTAATGTGAAAATTTTAAATAAGTAACACACAAAACAATCAAGTACAAAGCAAGGAAAATGAATGTTTATATCACAAAAAGAATGCGCTGAAACGTTTTCGCTTTTTTCTTTGTCTGTATTGTCTTATCTTTATCTATTTTGAGATACATTGTGTAAAAATATTTGGTAATTGTAAAATTATTGTAATAAGTTAAAGAAATATCAAAACTGCTAAAATTTTTGGCAACCCATAGTTTAAGAAACCTTGGTATACTGAATTGACAAGCAAATAAGACAATCAATATTTGTATGGGTTATGTGCTTGAGGGTGTAAATATTCTTGCAAAGAGGGTGTCAATGCCAGGGTCCAAAAAAATGCTATGATTCCGAGAAAAAGGGGATATAATTTGGAGTAAGAATGCTCTTCCAACATGAAGGAATTCGTGAACTTAAGAGTTGAATATGTTCTCTTTCTGTGGTCATTTAAAGCTGTGATTTCGAAGTGAAAATCAAAGGCTTTAGTAAATCGCATTTGCTTTAGTTGAAGTATAGTTGATCTAGTGTTCCTTTTGGTAGTAAATATGGCTACCGCAAAAAGAAACAGACATGGGGCTAGTTTCAAATGCAAAGCCATTCATTTTGCAAAAGAAAGTGAAACCATGCTGCAGCAAGGATGTGTGGTGTTGGTGAAAGCTTCATACGTGAATGGAAGAAAAGTGAAATCACAGTAATTAATATGCCAAAGAATAAATGTGCTTTGTGTAAAGAAGTAACAAAATGGTCTTCCTAGAAGAAAATGTTGCAAACTGGATGCTAAAAAAATGCCAGAATGGATTAATTGTAACAAGAAACAGTATACATTTATTTGCCTTAAAGTGGGCCAAAAAGAGTGCAAATGAAAGTGAAACTTTACAGCAACTTTGAGTTGCTGTAGTAGATTTATGCCATGGAATAATTTAGTTCTACAAGACGAAAACTAAAGTTTTGCAAAGGTTTCCGAAATATTTGGTTAATAAATTGATTAGTTTCCAGAAGAATGTTTATAAATGTTATATTATGTATAATTTATATAAATATATTGACCTATAAAGGGAAAAAAAAGTATTTACTTTCACATATTGAAAATATAGATGAAACTCCGTAATGTTTGATATAATAGGAAATAAAATGATTGATATGAAAGGAACAAAAACAGTTCATGTAAAAACAAAAGGTCACGAAAGAATTCACTTCACCGTAGTGCTTTCCTTCTTAGCAGATAGTTCAAAGTTAAAACTTATGGTTATTTTTAAAAAAAAGGCAATGTCAAAATGTAATTTTCCAAATGGTGTTTTCTGTCATATTCATGAGAAAGTATGGATTGACAAAAATGGTGTGAAACTGTGGATAAGAAATGTTTGGCAAAAACGCCCTCTTACCTTAAAGATTTCAGAAAGTCTTTTAGTCTGGGACATGTTCAGACTCAACTAATGGATAATACAAAGAAATTATTGAAAAAGTGTAATATAGACATGGCACTTATTCAGCTGTAATTAAGGCCATTGGTTCAGCCTTTATATGTGTGTATCAATAAACCATTCAAAGAAAATTTAAAATTACAGTTGAATACATGTATGTTAGAAGGTCAAAAAACATTTACAAAAAGGAGGCTAAATGTGTCATGCCAATTTAGAAATAGTGTGTGAGTGGATAATAAAAGTATGGAATGAAATTAAATCCAACATAATTCATATGTCATTTGAAAAGTTCAGTATATCTAACAAGCTAGATGGAACGGAAAATGATTATTTATTTACGTAACAGTGATTGTGAAGATGAAACAGAAGTTGATGATGTGTCTAAAGATATAACAGAAGGTGTATATTATAAACTTTTCATGTTATCCAATAATGAAAATTTTTAAGTTCATAAAGGTATATAATTTCTTTTAAATAAATAGCATTTAGGTATATTGTGGGAAAAAATGGGACAGTTCTATATCTCCTGTTCTACTGAGCTGATTCACAAAATTTAAATTGCGTTTTTCATGTCTCGAAAGCACAACTTAGGATATATATTAGATTTATATATAGCATTGTTCTAACATAAGTATTTTGACACAAAATCGGACTTTTTCTGAAATAACATACCAATATTTTCCTATATTTTGAGTCTACGACTCAAATTATGCCTAGATATTAAATTTTGTAAAATTTGGCGCGAAATTTACGATGAAATTCAAAAATTTATCTTGGCACAATTTTTTCAGTTTGCACCAAAAATTTCAGCTTGCACTTCACGAACCTCTTAATATGTGGCAACCAATTTTCCTTTCTCTTCTATTATGCCATTCCCTTCCATTTTTCTTGAAATTTTCAAAAGTACTTGACCATCCCTATATACCTGTATGCATCGGAACAGAGAGTTAATTCAGTTTAGATATTCATTCAGAGTCATTTGACAGCTTTGAGCACCAGCTCAGTGCTTATTCTTTAGACTTTACTCTGGGAAGGATTCTGAGGATATCTGATATTCCTTGCATGTAAAGGAAAAATTATTTGCCTTATATTTTGATGTCTTTGAACATTTTATAGTTGTTTATGTTGTATGAACTATTCAATAAAGTATCAGTGTTTTCCTACTCATTTGGCAGAGTCATTAGGGAGATCTCTACAAATCCATAGCATGTAACATACTCACCAATTCAAATTTCATGTACATTTACGGCAAGACTGGCGCTGTACATTTGCGGCCTGGTGCAATATTTGTGATTTGTAAGTTATGCCAACCGATGGCTTCCTGAATTCCAAAAATTTTGCAGCCCCTGAATTCAATAAATTTTTCCACAGCCCAGAGCAGTCACACAGGCTGGCACGGCTCTAGCACCAGCCATGGGTATAGGTGTCGGATTCTTCCACCTGTTCATAAAGTTTTAATTTGATTGTAAAAAAAAAAAAAAAAAAAAAAAAGCAGCTTCATCGATGTTGTATTTGCTATAATCTTATACTTAGTTTATTAATTATACATATCAAACTCAGCCACAAAACTGTTCACTTTTTATCAAAGAT